GGCCGCTGCCGAGGGGCTCCGGTGCCCCCGGTGCCCGCGGGAGGGGGAAAATAAAATATAGTATCAAGCGCTAGGTTTGTATCTGCTGGAGCTCGAGCTTTTACCAAGTCAAATCTCCCCGGCAGCGCACAGCATCTAAATGAATAGGCCGGATGCAGATTAACATTCAGGCTGCTCTCTGCAATGAATAGAGCCCTTTGATTAGGGACCTGAAGTAAATGCCAGTTTCAAACCGAAGCTTTAAAAACAGAGAAATATCAGTGCCAGAGGAATGCTCTCAGTGTTGGTACAAGACAGACTTTTGATGAGTCACTGCAATGCAAACAAAGATGGCAGAAATACTGTACTGTATGCTGATGAAATGCTTAGTGGTGCCACGGCAACTGAGACAGGTTTTAAATTTATAGTGCAGTTTTGCATATGAATTACGCTGTAAACTGCCTCCCCTGCCATCTAGTACATCCAGAGTGTCAAAGCATTTAAACTATTCCAAACAGTCTGCAGAGCTGGCACTGCTGCTGGTTAACTCCTGCGGCCAGGGGAAGGCAGGGAGCAGGGCTGGGGAGCATCTCCTGCATCCCCCCAGCACCCTGCTGTACCCCCTGCATCCCCACAGCATCCTGAGCATTCCCCTGCATCCCTCCAGCATCCTGAGCATCGCCCCAGCATCCTCCTGCATCACCCCTGCATCCCCACAGCATCCTCCTGCATCCCTCCTGCATCCTCTGCATCCCCTCATCAACCCCTGCATCCCCCCAGCACCCTCCCACGTGGCCCAGTATCCCACCCCAAGGGCACCTGCCCAAAAGCACAGCTTTGGGAATGCCCAAATCTGCCCAAAATCAAGGTGCTCCTTGGGCAGCCACAGTCCTGTTTCCTGTCCCCACCTCAGATCCCCCCCCTCCCCCCAATACAAGAAAGCCTTTCAAATGCAGGAAAAATGTTTACCCCTTGGGGAAAGCTTCTTTCAGTCTGTGGCTGAATCCACTAAAAGCAAATCCATTTGCTTAAGTAATGAAATCCCAGTCACATTGTCTCCTGGATTCAGATTTTAAATTACCTTCGCATTTATTGAGCATGTTTGGTGCTTTTTTCTGGGAAAGAGGGTGGGGCCTCCCTTTGCTTATTTCTCCCTTGCCCAGAGCGTTTTTCCTTGTGCCACTGGCCTCGGGTTTGGTTCAGCTGCTGTGCTCTGATGGTCACACACAGTTAAAATCCCAGGGATGAGAGGTGAGGCCATGCCCAGAGCAGGAGAACTGCAGGGAGCACGGGGCTGGTGATGCTCCAGCCTGACCTTCCCTCCTGATCCTGCTCACAGCTGCACTTCCACACCCTCAGGGATGTTTGCTGCGTGAGGTTCAAGCCCAGGGCAGGGAAGTGCTGCTCTCCCAGATTTGCCCCAAACTGCCCCAAACCCCACAGGACCTGCAGCCCCACAGAGCCTGGAGAGCCCCATGCTCCCATTCCCTGCTTTGGGAACGCTCACCACCCTCACCCAAACCCCTCAGGAGGTCACTGGGGTCCCAGCCTGGTGCTGCTGAGAAGGGACCAAGGTCACATCCCACGAGGAGATCAGAGGTGACACCACAACAACCAAGCTGAGAGCCCAAAACCTCTCCCAAGCACGACAGCACCCACCTGTGCAAATGGAACCTGCCCTGGCAAACAAAGATCCACTCTGGATCTGTGAAAATTACTGAGGAAAACCCGAGTTACAGAAAAAAACATCACTGCTCAGGCACCTAAGGAAGCCTCATCCTTCCATGAACATGGGTGGAGGATTTCCTCCTCTTCCCTTCCAGGAAGGGCTCCCTCAGAGCAGGAGAAGACACCAGGGAGGCCTTGGATGGACCCAGCAGGGCAGGATGTGTGGGACCAGCCAAGGACAGTTTGGTAGCACACAACAAGCCAAACTTAAAATAAATATCAATTATTAATATTACTTACAGTTTGCTCCATAAACAAACAGGCTTGTCAGGAGCAACCCCTGTCTGCCCCTAAAAGCACCAAATTGGGCTGGTTTAGGGAATGTTTTAAGCCAGAGAGAAGCAACAAAGTGCCCCAGCATCCCAAATCTTTGGCAAAACTCAGATAAAACCTCTCAGGAGATGCTGCACACAATTGGTCCCTCCCAAAATGCAGCTCCCAGGGAAATGGGGGGAAATTAACAGTGCTTGGTTTAGAAGGAGCATCAAGGAACAGGAGCAAAGCCACACAAGGAAGCTGCAGAAGCCCAAACCACCCCAATAAACCATCAGCCAGGACTGCTGGAATTTTCCCTTCTTCCTCCCTCTGCCCCTTCCTTTTAATGACCAGAATATACAAAAAAAGCCTCCCAAAACCCAATCCAAAAACCCCAAATCATGAAGAAATAAAATAAAACATTCTTGAAAGCCCAGGAGAACCTGCTCAGCACCAAACCTCACATTCCCTAAAAACAACAGCAACAAAAAGCTACTGTGATTTGACAGCAAATGCAATAAAGCTTGATAATTTCTAACTTTAAAATTCCTCTATTAAATATGATCATTTTTCTTTTAAATAGAGCACCAGGAGACTTTTGAAGGGTTTGAAATGGCTTCAGCCCATCTGACACAGGAAGAGCTGTGCTGCAGGAGAAATGACCTTTGCAATTACAGATGTAAACTGGATTTTTCCAATCTCATCTCCCAAGCTGAGCTGTGTCCCAAGGTGCAGGAGCAGCCCCCAGGATGACCATCACCCCAAAAAAACGAGTTCTCTTTGGTCTGGAGTGTCCTACAGGTGACAGACCATCAACAGGGCATCTCCAAATGGGAAAACTTGGATAAAACTGGATTAAAACCAGACAAACATCCCCCACCTTGATCATTTTACATATGTGACCATTCAAGCAAAAACACCATTTTGTTTTCTGATGGCAGCCTCTTTCTCCAGGAGGATAATTTGTACATCTCCGCCTGATTTTTGTAAAGTCATAGCCTTTGTCACAAGATGTTCATAAAAAATGCAGCTGTTATTTGAGACAACTTCCAGGAGAGTTTGGGAATTCTCAGTTTCTGCATTCATCTGCTTTGGGGGAAAGAAAAAAAGCAGGTTTGCTCTTTTCCAAACTAATTCCCTGCTCTGAGGCCTGAAAGGTCAGGGCGAGGCGACAGCAACAAAGGGAAAAAGCATCGACCTAGAATGAGATGCTGCCATCAGAGCTCCCCCAGGAGTAATCAGAAATAATTAGATAATGTATTTAAATTGGCTTTTTTCTTTTCCTCAGCCAAACAACAGAGAGACTGGGTGGAGAATCATTCCCCCAAAACCCCCCAAAAATCCCCCAAAGTCCTGCAGCTCCCCAGGAAGGTGAGCTGGGACAGGGACAAAGGGACAGGGACCCTCTGGGGGTGGGAGACAAAGCAGCCAAAGGCTCCAACCCCCCCAGCCAAAGCCCCAGGAAAGAAAAGAGCTGAAAAGTCCTGCCCTTGAAGGCCCCAAAGGGTCAAAGGAAACTTCCCTTTCTTCTGTAAATGAGGAGAGAGGGGGGGAAAATCCCACCCTTGGATTTGAGGCTGGCAGGGGGTCCCCAAAGCCACCCAATCCCCCAGGCACAGCGGTGGCACCTGCCCTGCTCTCACTGCAGGCTTTGGGGGTTATTTCCCCATTTTTTAATGCAAAGGAAATGTAAAAACCCAGGGGAAAATATGCAACAGCTCGCTGCAAACTTGGTGGCCAAGTGTCATTGCCCGAGCCCGGAGATGCTGTAATGCCTCAAATAAAATAAAATAGAGCTCAGTAAACTAAAGAGTTAAATGAAATAAACAGCCAAATAAAATGCACTTCAGGTCTAGGCTGAGCATATTCCCCCCACCCCTGCATCACAGGCTGTGCCAGGGAGCCAAAAAGCCAAAATGCAAAGTCTGCACCCCCACCCCAACAACGGAGCATCCCCTTTTCCAGGTGAGGAAATCCAGGAGGGGAAGGGAGAGGGACTGGAGCACGGGTCTGGATTCCTGCACAGGGGGGGAGAAAACAAGGTTAAGTTCAGTAATCAAATGGCAATGAGCCTCCTCTCCTGCAGCACTGGTATCTGCAGCTCCAAAGTATTTATTTTTGAAATGCTGCAAGTGGCAAGCGGCGCGGACAGACCCTATTTTTAGTGTAGCAGCCAGTGGCAATGGGTGAAAGAAGATTATTTCTGCCTTATTAAGAGCAGAAAGTGAATTTGCAAATATTACTCAGTAACACACGGGCAGCCCCCACGCAGCAGACACGCAGCACGGCTCCAGAGCCCGCAAAGTTCACACAGAAAGTGCAGCCCCAGAGGCTGGGCAGGGGAAAATGGGGGGAAAAGGCGGAAAAGTGAATTAAAATCCTGCTGATGCTGCAGCTCAGGAGGTGTGGGCAGCCCCACTGCCAGGGAATGGGGACTGGGTGCTCAGTTTGGGACCCTGGCACTGCCCTGGGGGCTCTCCCTGGGGACCAAGCTCCGAACATCTCCTGTGGGGAGCTGGTACAGCCCTGAGGGGTCTCTGTAGATCCTGGCACAGGCACAGGGATGCCAGGACAGCCCTGAGGGGGTCCCTGCCCAGGGACCCTGGCACAGCCCCAAGCATCTCTCCTTGAGGACCCTGGTACATTTTCGAGGGTCTCACCCCAATCCCCTGGCACAGGCCCGAGGGTCTCTTTGTGGAGACCCCAGAACAGCCCCAGGGACCCTCCCTGGTGCCCAGCACAGCTCTGAGGGTCTCTCCCCAGTTCCCCGGCACAGTCCTGAGGGTCTCTCCCAGTCCCCTGCACAGCTCCAAGGGGTCTTTTTATAGGGACCCCATCACTGCCCCCAAGGTCTCCCCCAATCTCCATCACTGCCCTGAGTGTCTCTCCCCAATCCCCCAGCACAGTCCCGAGGGTCTCATCCCAATCTCTGGCACAGCCTCGAGGGTCTCTTTGTAGGGACCCCAGCACAGTCCTGAGGGTCTCCCCCAGTACCCCATCACAATCCTGAGGGTCTCTCCCAGTTCCCCAGCACAGCCCCGAGGGTCTCTCACCAATCCCCCATCATCATAGCCCTGAGGGTCTCTTTGCAGGGACCCTCCATAGCCCTGTGTCCCCCCCAATCCCTCATCACAGTCCTGAGGGTCTCCCACAATCCCCCATCACTGCCCTGGAGGTCTCTTTGACGGGACCCCAGTACAGCCCCGTGTCCCCCCTCCCCAATCCCCCATCACAGCCCCGGGGGTCTCTCTCCAGTTCCCCATCATCACAGCCCCAAGGGTCTCCCACAATCCCCCATCACTGCCCCGGGGGTCTCTTTGCAGGGATCCCATCACAATCCCGAGGGTCTCTCCCACTCCCCCATCACAGTCCTGAGGGTCTCTCCCCAGTCCCCCTGCACAACCCCGAGGGTCTCCCCCAATCCCCCATCAAAATCCCGAGGGTCTCTCCCCAATCCCCCATCAAAATCCCGAGGGTCTCCCACAATCTCCCATCACTGCCCCGGGGGTCTCTTTGCAGGGATCCCATCACAGTCCTGAGGGTCTCTCCCACTCCTCCATCACAGTCCTGAGGGTCTCTCCCCAGTCCCCCTGCACAACCCCGAGGGTCTCCCCCAGTCCCCCAT